AAATACCCTTGTAAGAACCTAAACTGAGACAAGCCATAATGGTTATGCTGAGAGGCAAATGAATCAGTCTGCATTGAGTTCCTTTCTGGGCCAACAGTTCTTTTGAGTCCCAATTTCAATGTCAAATAGCTCCTTATGTGTACATGTCAGCCATGATATTTCAGATCTGGTTGATGGACAACTGGTGGTGATGCAGGTCCAACTGTCTCTGGTTTGGTCCTGGGTATCCTTCAGCAACACGCAGCTGCTTTCTGCTGGTATGGCGAGGCATCATCAGCATCTTCCATCTCTGAATTGTTTCTCTTTTGTCTTCAAGGCTGGAGCACTTCTGTCTATTCCTCTCTGTTATGGGGTTCCAGATGGTCTTGGAGTTGTTTTCTGAAAATATACAAACATATTCTTGACCAAAAGTTAATAAAGGGATATTTTCTATAAATTTGACTTGGGATTCTTTTTCATTTTTTCCTCCCCAATGATTTTCCTCTGGCTTGTTTTGACACCATGTGTGTATTTTCATGAGTATCTTGCTGTTATAAAGACTAATTTTTTGGAGGAATTTTTACTATCTAAAATGTTTTTACAAAATAGACTTTTTTGGAGCAGTTTTAAGTTCACAGCAAAATTGAGTGAAAAGTTCAGAAATTTCCCATCTATCCCTTATCTCCCTCATCATTGACATCCCACACCAGAGTGGTACATTGTTACAACTGATCGACACACAAAGTCTATAGTTTATATTGGTGTTCACTCTTGATATTGTACACTAACATCCTGGTGCACGAATTTGTGCACAGGTGGAGCCCATAGGGCTAGATTGGGGTGTGAGGGACTGCAGGCAGTTGATGGGCCGGCCCGGCTTCCTGGTCAAACTCCAAGATAGGAGACAATTTGCATATTAGCCTTTTTAAAAATATATATATTTTATTGATTTTTTACAGAGAGGACGAGAAGAGGGATAGAGAGTTAGAAACATCGATGAGAATTTCGATCAGCTGCCTCTTGCACCCCCACCCCACCACTGGGGATGTGCCTGCAACCAAGGTACATGCCCTTGATGGGAATTGAACCTGGGAACCTTCAGTCCGCAGGCTGAGGCTCTATCCACTGAGCCAAACTGGTTTTGGCCTGCATATTAGCCTTTTATTATATTGGATACTATGAGTTTGGGTAAAAGTATAATGACATGTATATACAATTATAATATCATACAGAATAGTTTCACTGCCCTAAACATTCTCTGTGCTCTGCCTGTTCATCCCTCCCATGTCTTCAACCTTTGGCAACCACTGATCCTTTTGCTGCCTTCATAGTTTTTTGTTTTTGTTTCCAGAATGGCATGTAATTGGAATAATAGAGTATATAGCCTTTTAAGATTGACTTTTTGTTCATAAACTCAGACTCCAGCCTGGCAATTAACAGAGTTTATTGAAGAAAGTTAAATATGAGGTGTGTCTCTAACAGTGGGAACTTGAAGTCACTATATAGAATTAGAGAACCATGGAATGACAAAGGTGAAAGGAGTGATTGAGACAAACTTGTGCCAGCCTACCATTTTGCCAATGAAGATGCCAAGAGTTGCTGAAAAACTGGAAAGCATCATGAATTCTTTACTTCTCAACTTAGAATAATATTAAAAACAAATAGATAATAAATCATAGGTCAATTTTTTTTAATTTTTTATTCCTATACCAGGAACAACCTTGACCACTGCTCTTCAAAGGAGTAACTGTCAATAAACATGAATGATCCAAAAGAGCAGTTTGATTTCCTTCCTTAAGAAACCCCATAAGCAGGAGCAGTGACCATCATATTTGTGTTTGGAATTAGGTATTTGAATTACGGTTCCCAGTCATGTTGGTTTTCCATGTTTAGCACTGAAAGTTCTGTGTCCCAAGGAGTTCCCTGGACGGACGAACTGGGATGGTTGGTTGCCCTACATCGAACTCAGTTCTTTTTTTTCTTTTTTCTTTTTTTAATATATTTTATTGATTTTTTTACAGAGAGGAAGGGAGAGAGATAGAGAGCCAGAAATATCGATGAGAGAGAAACATCGACCAGCTGCCTCCTGCACACCCCCTACTGGGGATGTGCCCGCAACCAAGGTGCAGGCCATTGACTGGAATCGAACCTGGGACCTTTCAGTCCACAGACCGACGCTCTACCACTGAGTCAAACCGGCTTCGGCTGGACTCAGTTCTTATTTCACAGCTTGACCAGTTCTTTTTTCACAACTTGAATATATTGGATTCTTTTAGTTTTTAAACTGAGCTATAATTTGCATATAGTGAAGTATACAGATCTCAACTATTGATATATATATATTTACCTGTTTACATACCATGTAGTTAAGAAAAATACCACATTCACCATGAAACCTTTCTGGTATTTTCGAGTCAGAACACATTTATCTCTTTCTTTTGTGTTCAGTCTGCTGTTAAACAAATCTGAGTTCTTAATTTCACTTGCTGATGTTTTGTATTTATAGAAGGTCCATATGATTCTTCGTTATAGACTTTAGTTATGCACTGTTGAAATAATGCACCTTTTAAATCCACTTTGTTTATCTACCAATATGGCATATTGATCATAGTTATTTTGAAGTTTTTGTCTGCCAGTTACAAAAATATACATGAGAGAGAATCTATTGACTGTTTTATCTCTTGATTATTGGTTACTTTTTCCTGCTGCTTTGCAGTTCCATTCATTTTTTAAAATTTTATGCTGGATATGGTGGATGATATGTTGTGGAGGTTTATCTACTTACAAATAATATTAGATTTTTATTTGCCAGGCAGTTACATTACTGGTGGATCACCTTGATCTTTCTGGGGTCTGATTTAAGGTTTTCTTAGGGCAACTCCATTTCTGTTTTGTCCTTACTCCTAGAGTATAGCCTTCATCCTATGGCAACTCTGATGGTGTTTCATTTATGCTAGAATGCAGCCTTTATAAGAGTTTCACCTGAATTCACCTGTGTTCATCAAAGTCTGTCTCTTCTGGCTGGGCCTAAACACCAGTTGTCTATCTCCAGAATGTGCACGTTTCAGAACTTCTCATCAGTCCTCACATGTGCAGTAGTGTCCTCTGTCAGCCCCCAGGAGTCTCACTTAAACTTGTAGGGTATAGGTCACAAGCATTAAAGTGGTATTTCCATGAAGACTTCTGGGGTTCCCTCTCTGAAGTTTTTCTTCTTGACAACCACTCCCCCCTTCAAATCCTGGCTACTTTTCCACTCATAATCTCCAATCTCTGCCTCTTCCACCCCGTAAGACCGCCCCTCCTTGCTTCATTTCCTAGAAAGTGTTCCCAATAAGAGAGCCTGGGTCAGAATGGGGCTGTGGTAACGGGTTGGTCTAGGGATGCTTACTTCAGATAAGTACTCATATTTTCTTACAGATTTTGCTTAGATCTTCTGCCTTATTCACCTACAGGAACTTTTTAGAGCAAAGCTTACCTTTTCCCAATATTAGAGAATTATTGAAGGTTTATTATAGGTCAGATACGTTTTGTATACTTTATGTCTTATATCCTCCATAACAAGCACATTAGAAATAGTAATAGTAGTGCTTATACAGTATTATCAAATGCCAGGCATTGTTCTGAGCATTTTATACATCTCATTTAATATTTTACATATTCATTTAATCCTCACATCAACCCTATAGATAGGTACTATTATTGTTTTACAAATGAGTAGTCTGAGAAGCTAGACTAAGTAATGTCCTCTCCAAAATACACAATTTTAAAAATATATACATTTTATTGATTTTTTACAGAGAGGAATAGAGAGTTAGAAACATTGATCATTGATCAGCTGCCTCTTGCACACCCCCCACTGGGGATGTGCCCACAACCAAGGCACATGCCCTTGACCGGAATCAAACCCTGGACCCTTCATCCCGAAGGCCGACGCTCTAACCGGCCTCTGCAAAATACACAATTTATAAATGGGAGGAGCCCAGGTTTCAAACTGTGGCAGTCTGGCTTCAGAAAATGTGCTTTCAACCACTTTGCTGTTGTGGTGGTGTTCTCATTCTACAGATGAGAAAACCAAGCCTTAGAGAGGTTAAGTGATCTCCCCAGTGTCTCATTGCCAGTAAGTATTATAGCAGCACTAGGATTGGAACCAGGCCCCCAAACCCTTGCTCTTTCCTCTCTACTTCCTCCCAAAGAGAGAGGAAAAAAAAGTTTTCCCTGTAGAACTCTATTTTAAAAGGATTTTGTGAGAATACTATTGTGGGGTCTTAAGAGGAGACCAGGCAGCTTCCTTTTGGTATATATATTTGATTTTGTACAGAGAGGAAGGGAGAGAGATAGAGAGTTAGAAACATCCACGAGAGAGAGTCATCAATCAGCTGCCTCTTGCACACCCCCTACTGGGGATATGTCCGCAACCAAGGTACATGCCCTTGACCGGAATCGAACCCGGGTCCCTTCAGTCCCCAAGCCGACGCTCTATCCATTGAGCCAAACTGGTCTCGGCCCTTTTGGTCTTAATAAATATCTTCTCACGCACATGGTTTGCTGGCCGTTTATGGCCAGGCACTGGGAGGGAGTTGTTTTTCCCATTGACACGTGTTATTTCTGAGCACCTCTCGGAATAACTTCTAGGGAGGGACATTGACAGCTCCCTGAATGCCAGTCTTGGGAGATGACAGAGCTCCGCCTTGAGGTCCTCCGCCTACACTGGGACAGGTGGTACTCAAGTGACACTTGCATCTTCTTTCAGGCATGAGCATGTGTGCTCTCAGGTGTATCATACTTTGCCAGTCAGAAGCTGAGATCTTGAGAGGGTTTGAGACACCAACCATCTCTGTGTTGTTTAGGCTGCCAGGTGTGGTGGTTGCTTTTTCAGGGAAGCCAGACCCAGGTACTCCCTTGTGCCATGCAGGGCGTTCACACATGATCCTGGAGCACCATGGAGGCTGCATCCCCCGAGGAAGCCGCCCAGAACCTGTGTGTCTCACCTGGTCTCTGACACTGACCACCCTCTTTTGCAGTATGAAGGCTGCCGGCATCGGGTTCATCATTGTTATCGACAGACGAAGGGACAAGTGGAGCTCCATAAAAACATCCTTGACACGAATAGCTGTAAATATTGATTTTTGTGCTTTTTTAAAAAAAATAAAAGTAATTTACGTAGTCTATCCAATTATTATCAAAGTCACAGGGAAAAGGTGGTTATTTTATGCCAGATTTTGGGAAGGTTCTTTGTTATGTCACACCCGTATCCCTTCTGCCACCTGAAGGTAACTGCAGAGAATTCCTTCCCATGTCAAAGGCTTTCTGAGTCTCTCTACTTCTTTCTCTGGTCACTGAAGAGGGACAGTTAGAGAATGCTGGGAAGTTAATGCCCCAGGAGTGACCTACAGCTATTGAGTCATAGAAGTTGGTGGATAAATTCCCCAGCTTCAGCGGGACACGTCTGAGGTATATTCCATATAGTATTTTAGAGGCTCCCAGCCTTAAAAAAAAACACAAAAAACCATCACCACCACCACCAACAACAAAAAAACCCACAAACATTTTTATTGATTTTTAGAGAGAGAGAAAGGGAGAGAGACAGAGAGAGGAACATCAATGTGAGAACAAAACATCTATCCACTTGCAACCCAGGCATATGCCCTGACCCAGAATCAAACCAGCAACCTTTTGGTGCATGGGGATAACACTCAACCATCTGGGCCACACCAGCCAGGGCCTCCACAGCAATCCCTGTTTTGATCTATTGGCTCTCTAGCCATCACTGTCTCACCCCTCACCAACTTCAACTTCCTCATATGCTGCCTGGGATCACCTCCTCACTAAACTCTTTTAAAAAAAAACAAACATTTTATTGATTTTTTATTTATTTATTTTTTTTTTTACAGGGAGGAAGAGAGAGCGATAGAGAGTTAGAAACATCGATGAGAGAGAGAATCATCAATCAACTGCCTCTTGTACACCCTCTACTGGGGATATGCTTGCAACCAAGGTACATGCCCTTGACCGGAATCGAACCTAGGACCTTTCAGTCTGCAGGCTGATGCTCTATCCACTGAGCCAAACCGGTTTCGGCCTCACTAAACTCTTTATACCCCAATCCTGTCTTAGAGTTTACTTTGGGGTCACCCACTTTAAAACAGTCTTCTTTTGAGTATTCAAATTATTTTTTCACATATTAGAAAGACACAAACTAAACCAGACAAAATGATATTTAGTATGTAGTTTGATTGAAGGTTGGGCTTACTTTGGGCATTAAATTGCACAACCTTGGATGGGATTCCTTTTGATTTGATAAAAAAAAAAAAAAAAAAAAAAAAAAAAAAAGCCTGATTTTTATCCCTGCTTGTTGCCTGTTAGCAAGTAAATGTATCCTTTCTCTGTAGGGACCTCAGACCAGAGAACTCAGTCGGATGGGCAGACAGAGACACCTCAGGGCAAACCATATCAGCATTTCTACCAAAGCATGGACTCCCTGGGGGCAGTTGGGACTGGCTGAGGAGGATGGGACATGGTAGGGTGGTAATGTGTGTATAGAGGCTCAGAAAGGATAGGGACATTTGAATCTCACTTGTGCCTGCATGCAGAGGCAGTCACACACACAGATCTGCACACATACAGAGTTTCCCTCAGATCGCTTTAGAGCCTCAGCCATACACAAATGAGCCTCAGCTCATTTCCTGCCATGACATAACAAAATGCAAGGTTCCGTTTAGGATGTTGCATTTCAAACATAGGAGAAGGGAAGTCTCCCTTCCTTAGTGCATGGATTGTTTGACCCCTTTGGTTTAGTTTTGGTTACGGGATTTTAGAGGGAGATAACTACAATGATGGTTGACAACGGGAAGATTTGGTCACTTGACAGTGCCCATGGCTATTCCAGAGGTCTGACCTCTGGGGAGTTCTGGCTTCCCAGGGTCTATAGAAGATACCCGATTAATCTAATACTTGAGACTAATTTGTCCAAGAATTACATCGATCACGTATGCATAAAAGATACCCTAATGCGGGATCTCTGACTACCAATCAGAATCTCTCATGTACTCATTGAAAATACAGATACCTGGTCTTCATTTAAGTACTAAGGAATCAAAATATTCCAGGGAATAGACCAGATTCCCCCCCCCCCCCCCCCCCAACAAACACCATGGGAAGTTTCTTTTGGGGACCACTGGAAGAATAGAAAGCCATGAGAAAAGGAAGAATTGGATTTCTAACTTGGCCATTAAGTTATATGAATCTGAGTTATCTCATTTCTCAGGACCTCACCTCAAGATGAAGACAATCTTGAGGTGAGGTCTTTGCTGATAACAAGACTTCCTGAAAGCAACATAGCAATAATATGCATCAGAAACCCTAAAATACTAAGCCTTTTACTCAGTAATTCTTCCAGGAAGCTATTAGGTCTAGTAATAATTAATGTCGTTTTCTAATACCTTTTTTAAATAGAATTTATTTAAACAATACAACAAAATTTAATCAACAATATAGTTGCCGTTGTTTTCTACTACTTGTGCCCAACGCTCAGGAAGCATTTTAATCCCTCTGTTGTAAAATTCTTGTGATTTTGATGCAAAAAATTCGGTCAATGCATTTTTGAGGCATTCTTCATTATTAAATTTTTTTCCAAGAAGAAAGTTTTGCAAAGAACGAAACAAATGGTAATCGGAAGGGGCAATATCAGGAGAATATGCGGTTGAGGGAGAACTTCCCATTCCAACTGGCGCAGTTTTTCAGCAGTGACTCATGCAGTATGCGGTCGTGCGTTATCGTGGTGAAGAATTACGCCCTTCCGATTAATCAGCGCGGGTTCTTTTTCTCTTAAAGCTTGGGCTAACCTTTCCAATTGGGCACTATACTCTGCACTTGTAATGGTTTGGTTAGATGATAAAAGTTCATAATGAAGAATTCCTTTAAAATTCCACCAAACACACAACATCACTTTTTTCGCATGCAAGTCAGGTTTTGGCGTGGGCTGCGGAGCCTCATTTTTGTCCAACCATTGAAGTCGCCTTTTCAAATTAACATACAGCACCCATTGTTCATCTCCGGTAACAATTTGCTCTAAAAACGGCAAATGGTTTTGACGAGAGAGGAGCGAACTGCAAATTGTGACTCTTTGATTACGGTTGTTGTTGGTCAACTCATGAGGAACCCATTTTCCAAACTTTTGGACTTTGCCAAGTGCACGCAATTGATTGGAAATTGTTTTTTGTGAACAATTTAAAGTTGTCGCAAGCTCTTGTTGGGTAATTTGAGGATTTTGCACCAAAAGAGCTTGAAGAGCTTCTTGATCAAAATTGGACACACGGCCTCGACCACTCTTGTCATCTAACGAAAAATTTCCCTTGTGAAATTTCTCAAACCAACGCTGGCATTTTCTGGCGCTAACTGCATCTTGACCAAGAGCACTACAGATGTTTTTTGCAGCCTCACTTGCTTTTCTTCCTAATTGGAACTCGTAAGGCATGCAGTGCCGAATATGCTCTTCACCCGCCATCTTCTTAGCCCTAGTTTTGCAACAAAAACCAAACCAAACACAAACTTTTTCAAGCAAAACTTGTTAATTGCACTTCACACGTTCTGTAGATACCACATGTTTGAAGGTTATGTCAATACAAGTCAACGCCAAGCAAGATTTTAAATGAATGTTTAAAAACGACATTAATTATTACTAGACCCGATATCTTAAGAAAATGTTTCAAAATATGGTTACGGATGTTCATTTCAGTGTTATTTTAATAGCAAAAATATGGACAAGCCTGAATAACTAGCTATAAATAATAGTTAAATAAGTTGTGCACCCATGAAAATATTTCTAAATAATTTTTAAGCATAAAAGCTCAAATTTAGTGAAAAAGGTAGGTTACAAAATATTTCTATAATATGAATTTAACCATGATAAAAATATTTAAGCAGAGAAAATAGCTTATAAGTAATAGGGTTAAAAAATTAAGTATGGCTATGAGATCATAAGTGGCTTTTTTTTCTAATGTATAATTTTATTTGCCAATTTTCAATAAAGAGTATGAATTGTTTTTTATAATCAGAAACATTTTTTGTGTGTTTCATTTAGTTTGGTTTTTATGGAGTGGTTTGGTTTATCTGATCTCTAAGATGTCTTTAGCTCTGAAATGTGAAATATATTCAAATTCTTTGGCATCCATGTTGTCCACTTTAACTTTGTTATTTGTGATCTTAGGCAAGAGGAGTCCAATGGATGTGATATTTGCCCTGACATTTTCATGACTCTTCCAGGTAGCATTCCCGGGAAACTTGCAGCTCATATTCATCCTTCGTCCATCTCGCTTTATCCAGAGGACAATCACTGACATTGGGATTAAATACTATCAAGATGAATTTAAAATGAAAGTACCGGTGAGCATGACCTTTTATCTTGTCTTCATTTAGTTGGGGCAAGTGGAAAAGATGACATTGGAGTTGTTTATAATATATATTATTGATTTCAGAGAAGGAGAGAGAGATAGTAATATCAATGAGGAGAGAGAATCATTGATTGGCTGCCTCCTACAGGCTCTACACTGAAGATGGAAACCATAAACTGGGTATGTGCCCTGACAGGGAATTGAACTGTGACCTTCTATTTCTATTTCATCGGTCGACGCTCAACCTCTCAGCCACACTAGCCAAGCTGAAGCTGGGTTTTTAAAAAGGTAGGACTCCAAAGGTAGAGAGGGAGAGAAGGACAGCTGGGCAGAGGAACCAGTATGTGTAAGGACTTGGAGAAAGGAAGTACACACTTCCTGTGAAGTTCAGGGGAAACCCCAATTGTTTCCCCCTGAACATACATACACAAACATATACATATACATATACATATACATATACATATACATATACATATACATATACATATACATATACATATACATATACATGATAGTCTTTTGAAAGAAAATGTAGAATAAATGAAATAGGTTTTACATATAAGGATAAGGGTCTGGGTTTTATCCAGTAGACAATGGGGATCCAGTGAAGGTTTTTGAGTTGAGTGACATGGGTAAATGGTACTGGAGTTACATAACTCTGAAGGTGGTGTCTAAGACTATAGAAGGAGATTGAAGGGTGGAGGGAAATTGTAGTAGTATAGGTGAAAGAAAGTAAGGATCTAAAATATGGTGGTGACATAAATATAGGCAACTGTAGAGTGAAAATAAAAACCAACATTGTGGCACTTACAAAAGGAAATAAAGCTAAAGATTTTATCTATAACTTTGGCAGAGACGTTGGGGAAATAGCACTTTCATACTATCGGACTAATTGGCAGTATTTATCAAAAATTACCTTGTAAACACTCTTTGACCTACCTATAAAAGTTATTATACAGATACTTTCATACTTGTGCACAAAGCTACAGATATAATGATGTTCATTACTAAATTGCTTGTAATAGTAAGTAATTGGAAATAGCTTAATGCCAATCAACATGGACTGATTAAATAAATTATAGTCTACCCAATTGGTTAAATACTTTGCAGCTATTGAAAGTAGTAAGGTATGGTACAAGCACAGTGGAAACAGTTGGTAGTTCCTTATTAAGTTAAACATATACTTAACTTATGACCCACCCAAGAGAAATGAAAACATATGCTTACAAAAAAGCATGTACAAGAATGTCCATTAGCACGTGAATGAGTAAAGAAATTGTGACATAGAAAGGTAAGTACTGTAAGATTTCACTTATATGTGGAATCTGAAAACAAAATGAATGAATGAATAAACAAAAAACACAGAAAACAGACACAGAGAATAAACTGATGCCATAGGGGTGGGGAGGGGCTATCTGTGAACAACATGAAGGGGAATATCTGTGAACCTTCCAGCTACTAAATAAACAAGTCATGGGGATGCAATGTGTATAGCACAGGGAAAATAGTCAAAAATATCATAATAACTTTGGTGACAGATGGTTACTAGACTTATTGTGGGATTCACATTGTAAGTTATATTAATGTCTAATCACTATGTTGTGCATCTGAAACCAATATATTGCATGTCAACTGTACTTTAACAAAAAATAAAGCCTTAGCTGGTTTTGCTCAGTGGATAGAGCACTGGCCTGTAGACTGAGGGGTCCCAGGTTCAATTCCAGTCAAGGGCATATGCCTTGGTTGCAGGCTTGAACCCCAGTAGAGGGTGTGCAGGAGGCAGCCAATCAGTGATTCCCTCTATCATTGATCATTGATGTTTCTACCTCTCTCTTTCCCTCTCTCTTCCTCTTGAAATCAATAAAAATATATTATAAAAAAATAAAAATAAATTAAAAAAAGAAAGTGTGGCATATTCATATAATGAAATGACATTAAGTAATAGAAAGGAGTAAAGTACTGATACATGCAACAGTAATGGGTGAATCTCAAAAATATTCCCTTGGGAAAAAGAAGTTAGACATTAGCAAATACATACTCTGTGATTCATTTTATATAAATGAATGAATATAAAGTTTAAGAAGAGGCAAACTAAGCTATGGTAGATAGAAAATCAAATAGAGACTGCTGTTAGGGTATGTGAAGTAGAGATTGATTGGAAGGAGGTATTAGGGCACTTTCTGGGAAAATGTACTATAGCTTCACTGGATGGTGTTACATGTGTGTTTACATTTGTCAAAACTAACTTAACTATACTTTTAAAACCTGTACATTTAAAAATGTAAATGATATATCAATTGAAAAATGTAAAAACAAAACATAGAAAAATAAATAAGATAAATCTATAGTGTTGTAAAAAATTTCTAATATATATTTTTTGTTTAATTGGAAATAATTTTAAACTAATGAAAACAACTTTAAGAATAAGAATAGTGCAAAGAATATTTCATGATCTTTACCCAGATTCATTTACCTGGTAGCATTTTAATCCCCATTTGCTTTATTATTTATTTCTTGTTTCTCTATATACATTATTTTATAGATATGTACATCTCTTTATATATAGTACATATTATATTATGTTTTTAAAAAATATATTTTTATTGATTTTAGAGAGGAAGAGAGAGGGAGAGAGAAATAGAAACATCAATGATGAGAATCATTGGTTGGCTCTGTCCTACACACCCCCTACTGAGGATTGAGCCCACAACCCTGCCATGTGTCCTGAGAGGGAATCAAACCATGACTTCCTAGTTCATAGGTCAAAGCTCAACCACTGAGCCATGCTAGCCAGGCCATATTATATTATGTTAATATATCATACATGCATTACATTAATATATAATATGTTAATACTATGTAATATAACATATGATATAATACATACATAATATATTTATCTATATACTGTTAATAATGTATTACATATATTAATATATCAAGAGGTAAATATACATATAACTATCTATACTTATGTATATGTAGTAAGTGATTGAAAAAAATATATAATGCCCCAAAACAAGGAATTTGAACTAAGCATTTGACCAAATGTCATATGTGTTTGTTTCCCTGGTTGTGTATAAAACACACCTCTCCATGTGATAATATGTACACAGATACTGGTACATATGTGATTTATGCCCTGTTTCTCACATGGTACATCTATTAACTAAGGAGAGAATGAACACCTGCTTTATCTTGATACTATGTCTTTTTAGCTACTTCTGTTTGTGGTAATATATTGATTCCCTATCCATCATACTTTTAATTTTAAATTAAAATCGGCTTTTTAGAAAACTCTTAGTGAGCTAAATTATTGGCACATTTAGTAGGGGTTTTTTTTAATGCAAAAAGTTTATTTTATAAGATAAACTCACAGAGAAGATTGCATTCCCCTCACAGCTCTGCTGGGCCACAGAATCCAGAGTCATAGGTTACCATGCTGATGGACTCAATCTTCAAACTATATTTTGTTCTTTTTATGAGTTCAAACTGTTGTTTTCTTTACTTTGTTAGTGAAACATGATTGTGATATTAGCACTTTACTTTGTAGCATCCTGTCCTCTCTTGTTATAACCCTAGAGGGCCGGTGCATGATATTTGTGCACAAGTAGGGTCCCTAGGCCTAGCCTGAGATCAAAGCTAATCTGGGGGGCGACCAGCAGGCAATTGGGGGGGGGGGCACTGACACCCGTCTTAGCTGGCCTGGGGCCTGTGGGCTGGGGGCAGCTCCTGCATTAAGCATATGCCCCCTAATGGTCAGTGTGCATCATAGCAACTGGTTGTTCTGCCAGTCGCTCCACTGTTTGGTCGATTTGCATATTAGGCTTTTATTATATAGGATCTCCCTGCTCATTTCTAGTGAGATAATAGTTATATTTTCACAGATTGAGTGAGGGGAAAGGAGTTCATTTTGCTGATTTGTAAAAGAACCAAGTGGACCGGGATATAATAGTAAAGTGACTTAGCCTCACTGTACCTTTAGCCAAGGAGAGGGTTGCTCTGAAATAGCAAAGGGTTTCTGAGAGCCAGTTGCTGGCACCTATCTATTCTAGACAGCTATCTTCATAGCATTCTGAGAAAATTATGTGAAGTGGCTAAGGCTATGGCCATGCAAATTGGTTTCTTAACATGGATTGAGTGACAGAATACAGGAAAGGCTTCTTTCATAATGATAAGATCACAGTTCTCCCTGAACGAACAGCTTTAAGCAATTATAGATAAGAGCATAAATGTATCCTGAAAAGGAATAGATAGGACATTCTTAATCTATAGCAACTGTTCTAAGAATGTACATGCTGGATATGGTATAGTAAGCCTGCTGGTGCCCAGGAGGAACTGAGAATGAGCTTGAAGGCGGAAGTTTATTATACTCACAGGCCTCAGGATTTCCTCATGTCACCCAAGTCCCACGGGGGAAGCCCAGGTTTTGCTCAGAGGACAGAAGCAGGATGAAGGTGAAAACCTAGATCAGAGTCTTTATTGGGGTTTCCTTGGGAAAGATGAGAAAGTAGAATCCTGCCAGTAAGGTGGCATGGAAGACCTGGGCCTGGCATGATAGGTTTCTGAAACTCCAGGCTGTGGGTCAAAGTTATTTCTGCCCAGTATGATGTTGCATAATGCTATTAAAAAAATTCCAGTATTACCAAAGCTGCTACTGTTCTGAGAAGAAAAAATTATTTTCACTTGATAATTTCCTGTTATGTGTCCTATAATTTTGAATTATAGAAAGACTAAAAATCTTTTTGAAACTCCAAAAAGTGGTTTAAAATTTTTTAGGAAAGAAAGACACAGATGGATTCACATTGTTTTTCTGTTTTCTTTTTCTCATATTATAAAAACATTTTTTAAAATTCCCCAACTCTTTTTAGAAATGAAGGAGAAGTCCTGGGGGCAGTGAGGTTAACAGAATGCTCTGTGCAATCATATCCCACTAAACCTTAGTTCCATCTTAGGGCTGTCATGCTTGCTATTTTATCCCTCTGAGTCTGGCATTTATTAGAAGTTCAATGCATATTTATTGGGTGAATACGTCAGTTTTGTTTTTACCTATAGACTTAGGCTCTAACTTAATATTATTTTCATTCCAAAGTGGACTTATCACTTGACTAATTACGATACGATAATAGAAAGCCTATATTCTTTTTAAAGATTTCATTTTTACTGATTTCAGAGAGAGGAAGGTAGAGGAAGAGACCACGAGAGAAACATCAATCAAGTGTCTCCCGTATACATCCCGACTGGGGATCAAACCCACAACCTGGGCACGTGCCCTGATGAGAATCCAGATGATGACATTTCCATGCACAGGATGGCATTCAACCCATTGAGACACCGGGCAGGGTGAAAACCTGTATTCTTTTAAAAAATATATATTTTATTGATTTTTTATAGAGAGGAAAGGAGAGGGATAGAGAGAAACATCGATGAGAGAGAATCATCGATCAGCTGCCTCTTGCACACCCCCTACTGGGGATGTGCCCGCAACTCATGTATTATACATGCCCTTGACCAGGATCGAACCTGGGATCTTTCAGTCCGCAGGCTGACGCTCTATCCACTGAGCCCAACTGGTTTTGGCAGAAAGCCTGAATTCTTATGTTCTCTGACCAAGAATCAATTTTCAAAATAATCAACAAGGAGTGAATAAATATAAGGTCATTAGGTAAAGGCATCAGAGGACACATTTCAGAGATAGGAAGGAGGGGTCCCTGCTTCTTTTCAGGAGTGACTAGGAGGTGTGGTGTGTTGCCTGGGACAGAGAGCCAGATCCCTGCCTGGGGGCAATTTGGATGGTGTCACCTTCCTCTAGATGTGTGGGCATTCTTTCACTCATGGGTGTGTTCATCAGCAGGATTGTTAATTTATGAAAACCCACTCCCTGCTACCTCCCGACCTCCTCCAGAATGTTGGGGGTACATCAGCATTCTTCATGGGAGTGCATCAGGGTAGTGAATCTTCTCAGTACACACTCCTCAGTTGGTCCCTGTTTTCTAATTTTATTTTGATATTCACCAGCTCACCCTTTATTGGGGTTCTCATCACAGATGTTTAGGTCTCAGTACAGCACCTGATTTCTGTGGCTAAAGAGTAGACCTTAACCTAAGAACTTTGGAAAAAAATTCACTTCAAGCAAGACCTGACTTCTAGGCAGCTTAGAACGAAGCTCCCTGATCTCCAAGTCGCTGTTTAGTCACAGACTATTCAACACTTTGGCGTTCTTCTCTCAAAGGGGGAAAGTGGAAAGGCACTTTCTCTGCTGGTCATAACAACCATTTAAAAAAATATTTTTTATTGATTTTTCACAGAGAGGAAGACAGAGGGATAGAGAGTTAGAAACATCGATGAGAGAGAATCATCGATCAGCTGCCTCTTGCACATCCGCTATTGGGAATGTGCCCGCAACCAAGGTACATGCCCTTGACCTGAATCTAACCTGGGACCTTTCAGTCCGCAGGCCGACGCTCTATCCACTGAGCCAAACCGGTTCTGGCCATAACAACCATTTTGGATATAAATCTCTGAGAAGGCAGAGTTGACGTACTATACCTAACAGTAGAATCCAGATGAGCTACTATTTAATCATCTGTGAGGAATATATTAATTTGTTTCCTCTTATAGATCGTTATGTTAAATTCTGTCTCTGACCTTCAAGGCTACATTGACAAAAGCCAACTGACAGAGGACTTAGGGGGAACTCTGGAATATCGCCACAGCCAGTGGATCAATCATCGAACTGTGAGTACCAACTTGTGTGCCCTTTTCAGCGTTTCTCCCTGTTTTCCCGAAGACAGGGCTGTTTAAGATCAGCTGTTGGGAGGTCATTGCCTATGACTACCTACCACTGAGGAGGTTGGGTTTTCCAAGCCACAGGTTGGGAGAAAAGTAGGGTGAAGGGAAAAGGCTGGAGTTTCTCCTGCTGACTTCCTTCACCTCACCTCATTGTCTGGCATGGGAGTCTCCTGGACTCAACTTAGAATGCACCTGGGAATTTTCAAAGAACCAATACCCTCTACCACCCAGAGAAATTTAAGATATTCCTTTAATGGCAGAGTAGGGCCTGTGAGTGGAAGGGACACAGGACAAGGTAGGTTTTTGTAAAAGAAAAGAGGGAGGAAAAGGCCCCCAGTCTCTCCCCACATGTGACAGAAATGACTCAGTTAAAGGCCATGAGAGGCAGCCTGGCTGTGTGTGTGCAGGGGGTGGGGACAATAGAGAGCCATGTGGGGGCTAGAGAGAAGGAAGGGTTTATTACAGGAGGGGTGAGTAGTCCTGCCCTTTGTAGCATTTTATCTAGAGTAGATCCTAGGTCAGACTTAATGTTGCATGTTTTGTTCTTTTTAAAAATATTTTTTCATTGATTTCAGAGAGGAAGGGAGAGGGAGAGAGAGATAGAAACATCAGTGATGAGAGAGAATCATTGATCGGCTGCCTCCTGCATGCTTCCAACTGGGGATCGAGCCCACAACCCAGGCATGTGCCCTTGACCAGAATCGAACCCGGAATCCTTCAGTTCACAGACCAGTGCTTCATCCACTGAGGCAAACTGGCGAGGGCTAATGTTACACATGTTCTTTTTTTTTTTTTTTTTTAATATATTTTATTGATTTTGTACAGAGAGGAAGGGAGAGAGATAGAGAGTTAGAAACATGGATGAGAGAGAGTCATCGATCAGCTGCCTCTTGCACACCCCCTACTGGGGATGTGCCCGCAACCAAGGTACATGCCCTTGACCGGAATTGAACCCGGGACCCTTCAGTCTCCAAGCCAACGCTCTATCCATTGAGCCAAACCGGTCCGGGCAAATGTTACACATGCTCTTAAGGTAACAAACAGAATTCTGAAATTGAAAGAGCTTATCTTGTTTGAATACTGCCTTCCTTCCTTTTTTTTCTGCCCAAGTGGTAGGATTTTTAAAAAAATATATTTTATTGATTTTTTACAGAGAGGAGGAGAGAGGGATAGAGAGCTAGAAACGTCGATGAGAGAGAAACATCTACCAGCTGCCTCTTGCACACCCCCTACCGGGGATGTGCCCGCAACCAAGGTACATGCCCTTGACCGGAATCGAGCCCGGGACCTTTCAGTCCGCAGACCGACGCTCTACCACTGAGCCAAACCGGTTTCAGCCCAAGTAGTAGGATTTTGAGCAATTCATTTGACCTGCTGAAATTCCCTTTTCTATAAAACAGAGATAAAATACTTCCCACTCTGGATTACTGAGCTGGTAGACGAATGTAGAGCACTGAGTACCCGTGTTTCCCCGAAAATAAGACATCCTCCGAAAATAAGACCTAGCGCATCTTTGAAAGCAAAAATTTAATATAAGACACTGTCTTATTTTCAGGAAAACAGGGTATAATACTTGGTCCTGTGTAGATACTCTGGAAGTGGTAGCTAATTCTACTGTCCTTCCATCCATAAAGCTCATTGCGAATGTTAATCCTGCCACACTATCATGATTGTCTGACCTTCCAGGCCATCGAAAACTTTGCCTTGGCATTGAAGACCACTGCCCAGATGCTTCAGACGTTCGGGGCCCGCCTGGCCGCGACAGAGCTGCCCAGCGGCGTGCCGTGCTCCGCAGAGCTGCTCACATCCCACACTAAGCAGCGGGACAAGCTGCAGGTGAGCGGTCAGTGGCCTCTCACAGCCCAGCCTCTGTGCCAGCGGAGGGTCAGCCTCCTGGACAGAGCTGGGAGCAGAATTAAGTTCTCTTTTTCCCTCTTCTCCAGTGACCTGGAAGCCACCGAGCATCTTCAGCCTTTGGGGTGGGCGATATGTGAAGAGAAAACCTCATTGAGATTGGATGGTTAAGGTGACCAGACGTCCTGATTTTGGCAAGACAGACCCGATTTTTAACAGTTTGTTCCACGGTGTTTTAAAAGTTACATAGCGGGACGCGGGATAAATTGTTAAAAATCAGGACGTCTGGTCATCTTATGGATGCTGCATGTAAAAGGACTGCAGTTAATACCTGTGAGAAGCATCAAATGTAGAGCACTCATCAAATGCAGGGAAACTCATTCTAGCTTTGTGCTGGTGAGATGAGGTGGGCGAGCATCCCTCCCAGGGCAGCTCAGGACAGAGCAAGATGCAAGAGGCTGAAAACGCAGTGAGAGCAGGAGTCAGCTTTTGAAGCATAAGCTTTTCTGGGGCTGTTGTGAAATCTGAGGCTGCCACCCAGCTGACATATTGCTTCACTTTCCCGGGATGGGTCTTTTTATGTGGGGATGAACTTGAGGAAGAGGATTAGGGGAAAATGCTCTGAACTGGGTTTAAAAAGAGGCACCTATTAAGGGATTCACAAAGAATACGCCTGAACTGTTTTTATGAGTTGCTGACGAAGGAGTTTAGCAGGTTCTTTAGTGCAGCGAAGAGAAGTCTTCATGGATGGGTGTCAAGCCATTTGCTGCCTCCAGAAACACAAACAGACTGAATACGGAATCTGTTATTTCATAGAAGACCAGAACTCAAGTGGGCAGCGAATTGAGGATTAGCAGGTTGAGACAGCTGGGCTTTGCTTGTTTTCCTGCTGCACGGAGCTTGGGAAGACCTGACCCAAAATCTGCAAACATGCTTTGCTAAGTGATTGATTTATTTGCTCATTTATTCAACATTTATCAACTACTCCACACTACATGCCAGGAAAACAAATAAACAAAGATTGCAAACTCAAAGAACACATAGTTTAGCTAGGGGAGTCTCAGAGTCTTATTAATGAGGCGAATGAATTCTTCCATGTGTCAGGAGCACTGTTTAATTCTCTTTGTAAGGAGGTGGCTAGTGAAAAAAGAGTTCAAAATCTATCCCCAGGATGACTCTGGGTCACCAAAAGATCTGGCTTGGACCTGTGAAAGCCAGAAAGCATCCTGAAAGCATTTAGATAATTTCTCCTAAAAATATTCCTTAAACGTTTGACCTTTTTCTTTGCCTAAGTTCACCTCTCATGATTCTTGGAAGAGATGGTATGGGGTGCAGAGGCCAGGTCTAGGGTGCCTCTGTGAAGTCTGACAGAAAAGGGTTGGTGGTCCCAGCCCACAGGGCATAGATTCTGGGAGCCTGCAGAGTGGACAGCTAGTATACCTGTGTGATGTTGAGAATACGGAGCATGGCAGGAAGGCACTGGGAGCAGAGCCCTGGGCCTGGGCTCATGAGCAAGTGTGCTCTCTGCCTCTATCCAAGGACGGTTTGGAGAGGTTGTAGAAGCACTGAAATGACAATGTGGTCAATCTGGGAGGTCTCTGGGGAAAAGGGAAAACCTTTTCTATTTTAGATGAGGACAGGTATCTGAGGGGTGAAATCGGCTCGGGAAGTCCTGCTATATGTGCAGTGAGGGTTCCCGGGAAAGGCAGATGGATGGGTGTTCCACCATGTCTACACTGGCGAAGCGGTCCACAGAGGGAAAGGGGAGGGAAAGAACCACCCTCCAAGATTAAATAAGGCCACTTCCTTGGGCATGGCGACAAGCTGTTGTTGGTATCAAAACACAACCCTGCGCAAAGAAGGCTAAAACTTCCCTCTGGTTGTGTGGTGGGATAACTTTGTAGATCCACATAATTTGCAGTGTTGTCTGACATTTGTAAGAAATTACTTTATACTCCAACTTATCTCAATTTGGTTAAATACTCATGTCTAACCAATAAAATAAAAGAAAGGAATTTAGGAGATTCCACTTTTAGTAAGAAAGTAAATGCAAAGTCTCACTTTTGTTCAGAGATGACAATTCCATTACCAAAGTAACAAATAGTCAAGAAAACAACCAGAATTTCATAGCCTCTGGAAATAATCTAATAGGTTTAGGAGTTTTTAAGAGTTCTTGGCTTAGGCATTAGCCTGCAGCCTGCCTGGTGCCTGGGCACTGGCCTCTCCTTGGGACCCCAATCTGCATGAATTCACAGAGACACATGAATGGATGACATCACTAATGGTATTGGAACAGTGTATCTCTCTTCCAATCTCCCCTGGCAATCTGCCTCTTCTTTGCTGGGCCCCTCCACGTTCCCTCCCAATTCTGCATCATGCACACGCACCCCTACAGACTATATATATATTTCTAATAATGGCTAATGCCAGAATACTGCTGGAATGCTAGAAGCTCAGGGACCGTTAAGAGTGAGAAAAGAAGCCAGGATACTGAGGGTGCTTTAGTGGGTAAAAAGAGGAGGGAAAAGATATGAGTACTACTAATGAGTGCTTCCCCCACTCCCAGGCTTATCTTGACTATTCACCTGTAACCTGGCTCCTTTTAGACTATTATTAATTCATCCAACCTACAAATATTTCAAATATTCCATGAACATTGGTGAGATAAGAAGAAATGAGGGCTGATACCTAGAATGGAAAAGAAGGGATATATCCAGTCCTCAGGCAGAAATACCAGCCAGGTGGCCACCTTGAGGTATTACCTGCAGTGGACAGGAGCCACAGTGAGACTAGATCAAAGAAACCAAATCTGTCATGAGACTGAGAGTGGATGAATACTGGGATGGGGTGGGAGACAAGGAGCAAAGGCATGCAGTTGAGAGTGCCAGACATCTTTGGGACCCGAGTGAAGAGTGTAAAACTCCTCCCACAGGGAATAAGCTGGAGGCTGTGTGAAGGCTGGGGGTGGCCAGGCTGGGAGGAAGAGTCAATGTTTATGTGCATAGGTGTGACTGTTCCGTAACCATGGGACTGTCACTCTCAGCATACCAGACCAGCATCTGGTGTCACCCAGGAATCAAAACCAGAACTCCTGGGAGCAACGATCTAGGCCAGGCTGCACCTCTTTTGCCTTGTCCCATGGTTAATGCTCAGGGCATTGAGACACCTGCACTGAGAGCAGAGGACAAGAGCTGTTGTGTTTGGAAGGAGATAGCTTGATGCTTCCCCAGTTGCAAAGCCCTAAGTCTCTGTGTACAAAGAGCAGAATAGAGTTGCCTTGGGAGTATGAATCTTTCCACGTCAAACTGAAATTGCCATCCACCTCTGCCAAGCTTTTAGGAAGGCAGCCATGCTAACCACTATACCACCAATGCTCCGTGCCAAGCTTTTTGGAAGTAGGTGGAAGGAAGCAGGTATTCATTGGTGAGACCAAATGAAGTTTGTCCGTTTTCTTTTTCTTTTTTTCCTGGTTAACTAGCAATTGTTGCATTATTATTGCGTGACAGTTCCCAGCATTTAACGTTCAATACCCGCCATTTTCTTGTTTCTGGCCACTGTTTTGGATTAGAATAGTTTTTTATTACCTAATTTTGCTTTTAATTTACAACAGCTTGAGATACACACAAAATTTAACAGTTGTAGCTTTTGGAGAGGGGAAGTAGATGGGCTCTGGACAAAAAACTAGCTTTCTCCCAATATGTATCCTTTGTATGTTTTTAATTTTGTCACGTGTAGTATTAGCCATTATGAATAAATCAACTAATAGGCAGCTTTAATTGTTAGCATTTAATTCCTTGGGTGAAAGGTATACCATTTTCCATACTCCAAATCGACCAAGAATTTTTCCAATTAATTTCTCACAAGAGAGACTATATTTCTCTTTCTCTAGGATGAGCTAAAATTACTTGGAAAGCAAGGGGCCACATTGCTGTCATGTATTCAAGAACCAAGAACCAAAGGTCCCATCAGGAAGCTAAATCTCAATCAACTTGAAAATGTGGCTACCATGGAAAGGTGAGTGAAGGTGGAATATACTTTTTGGGGGGGAATAGAACTAGATGATCTGAAATAACCAAGGACAGACTAAAACAGCTACTCTTGGGTCTTGGTAGGGTCAAGAAAGAATAATATTAAAGACAACAATGGGAAAACGATGGCCCCCATCTGGCACCCAGCTATAGAGATATTTTTACAAGAATGCCATCCCACCTCTTATGAAATGCTGTCATCCCAGGATTACAGGGGAGATGGTAGTATTGGTTGAGTTTCATTTCCAAATTACAGTTTGTCTGGGTGATGTGCTTTGTCAAAGAAAAAGCACAAAAGTAAGGTTATTTGGGGCATGTTCTAAGCACAGCCGCTGAAGCAAAGTTTCTGCCTGGCAGGGAAGGTGTCCTGGTAGAAAAATGGAAGGTATGGGACGCCATGGGACCATGAGAAAGTCATAGGTGACACAGACTTTCATAATAAGGACATTACCACAATTTAAAACACTGACTAAAGACATAGATGTTAGCTACACAAACCTACACAGACTCCTGTGGAAATGAGAGTTAACCACAATGTCACTTTCTCACTCTTTCTTGACAGGTTACTTGTTCAGTTGGATGAAACAGAAAAAGCCTTTCGTCAGTTTTGGTCCAAGCATCACCTGAAGCTTAGTCAATGCCTACAACTACAGCACTTTGAGCACAATTTTTGTGAGGTGTTCTTTTCTTGTTTCATAGAACTTCCGTTTATGGTTCAGTGACCTCCAGTTCTCTCTTCTGCCTTGAACTCTGTGTATTGGGGTTTCTCTCCCCGCCACTAAGCCAGCCCCCTCCTTCCTCTCAGACATCCTCTTCTCACTTTTTCAGTGGGATACTAATGTTCTAAAATCCAGTTTCCCTGTTGGCATCCATGGTATTTCAGTGGTGGTTTACCTTCCTTTCTCCTTGATAATCTGTTGAATGTAGCTTTTCTATTCCATCTACATGTGTCTCAGCAACCCCACCCCACCCCTGCTTCATCTGAAAGCTAATGAGCTGTATATCCATTGGTCCTGAATCCTTTCAGGACTTTTGAATTTTCTTAGAGTACAGCAAAGCCCTACCTCCAGGTAGGTGCTCATTGGCTTACTTCTGGACTGTTCTAACGTGTCTTGTAGGTTAAGCTTGCCCTGGACAACTTGTTGGCAGAGCAAGCAGAATTTACAGACATTGGAGACAGTGTGATGCGTGTGGAGCGACTTCTCGAGGAACACAGACAACTGGAAAGAAAAGGCCAGGTTTGTTTTTTTGCCCTTTTTTTGTGAACTGGGAAGGTAGTCACTGTGGACAGTGACACATATGCCCACTCATTGTTGGAAGATTGCCAAAGGACACAGGAATGCCCAAAGCCTGGCCTGTCAGTCACCCCACTCCCACCCCCGGTGTCCAAGGAGATGTGCACATGAACATCTGTGATGAGTAATGCCTGTCGTGCAGAGTTCCATTTAGGCTGCGAAGCACCCCATTGAGACTGGAGGCTCGGATGGGGTGAGAGCTCTGGGCGGTTCTGCCCTCCTCAGAGTGTCCGGACCAGTGGAGGAGCAGCAGGGTGGGGGGCAGGTGACAATGGGCACCTTACCCATTGGGCTGGAGATGGAGGTCTGGGCTGGGAGGGGAAACTTCAGAAGGGGAAACCAGAAAGAAAACAAAGAACAACTAGTTTGAAACAAGCAAGATAGTGAAAAGGGGGAAATGGGTTCACATAAGTTTCGTTGAAACTTCAGAAGGGGAAAGCAGAAAGAAAAAAAAAGAACAACTAGTTTGAAACAAGTAAGACAGTGAAAAGGGGAAATGGGTTCACGTAAGTTTGTTTTGTTGATAACAAAGTTGGCAGTGCTTTCTTCTTTCTCAGGCCCCACGAGCTATAAATAGCAGACTTGCAAAAGAGAATGTATTTCTCAATTCTCTTAACAGAATTAAATAACTTTCCAGATCTTCACATGGGTCAGCACTCAGCAATGATTCTATTTTAATACATTAGGCTTAATGTGCCTCAAGAATGCTCAGTCATCTCTTGCCAGAGAAATTCCTTTTTGCTTTTCTTTGATTAGCTTCTCTATATTTTTTTCTCTTGGGAGCAAATACTCACTCCATGGTTAGCACTTCCTTTCTGAGCTAGTCTAGAGGCATGTTTCCTGGATAGTACTTTTGTAATACTACCCTGTTTCCCCGAAAATAAGACAGTGTCTTATATTAATTTTGCTCCCAAAGATGCGCTAGGTCTTATTTTCAGGGGATGTCTTATTTTCCCATGAAGAAGAATACGGTACACATTTATTGTTCAATGAAAATAAAGGAAATTTATTACCTGTATATGGTACAGTAGTACGGTAGTTGTCAACACAAACCAGACAAACTGTGAATCCTACAGTATTAAGAATTTACTCATTTATTCAATGACAATCATGTCATCATCTTCTGGAACATCAACATAACAATCCAATTCCTGAATTTCCTGGTGAATTTCTTGTGACTCCATTTCTTTCAGAATCAGTGGACCAAATCTCTCATGTTTAGCGTAGGGGGGCCTTATTTTTGGGGGGATGCCTTATATTTCACCCAGAAGGAAACCTGTAAGTAGGTCTTATTTTCGGAGGATGTCTTATTTTCAGGGAAACATGGTAGATACCGGTAGTTTCTCTTCTGGCAAGCAGCATGGATATCACTTGAGTGAGAACTTGTTAGAAATATGGAATTTCTGCTCTCATCTCAGAATTGGCATCTACATTTTAATAAGATCCCCAGGTGATTTACATGCACAGTATAGAGATATATTTTCTTATGAATAGTAACAAATGTAAGCTAAGGCCATGCTGGTTCTAAGAGCTATCAGTTGTGGATTCTGAGCGAGCTGGAGGTCTTCTGCACCTGTACAAACACCCAGACCCACCTGTGCACCAGCTTTCACTCAGGAATCCCATCCTTCCCTAGTGTCCAGTTCTTCTGCTCTCCGTGACCATTGGCAGCTGCTTGTAAACACTTTTGTGTTGGAGGCACAGTCATCAGAAACGTTTATCAAACAGTGAAGGGGTACAACTTCATGTATCTGATTATGTTTCAGTTTCATATGTTCGTGAGGTGTTCTTTCATAGGACACACACACACACACAAACAATTTTACGTAATTTTAGTTTTTTCAAAAGAAATCCTTATTAAATGTAGATACTATGCATTTTCATGTATATACATTTATATATTGGGAGGGGGGGGAAGCTTCATCAAGCAAGCCCAGTGCCTTTATTTTGGGCTTCAAAAATGTGGCCATAGCTACCATGAAGGCAGCTTACCAGCCCGCCAGGTATTCATCATCAGGTATTCTTTGCCCAGGGTTCTGTGATTACCAGAAAGTCAAGACCCTGCTTTCATGGAGCTTACATTCAACTGGAGAAAGACAGAAAAGGGAAAAATAATTCTATATAATAAAAGCCCAGCAACCAAACAGGGGAACCACTAGAACCACCAGAATGACTGCGTCCCCTCACTCTAGCCAGCCCTGCCCCCATCAGGGTGGGCCGACTGGACCCCAACAGTGCACAAATTTGTGCACTGGGCCTCTAGTCTAATAAATAATGCTATTAGATAGTAACAAGTACCCTACTTGAGCTAGGGTAGTCAGGAAAGGGCTCCCTAAGAAGGTGGTTTTGATCTGAGAGCTGGATAGCCATGCAGAGATTTGGGGCATAGCCTTTAAGGCAGAGAAGCTCCAAGTGCCAGGTCTTGAGGTTCGTGAGTTCAAGGAATGCAGCTGGAGCAGAGTCAGCCAGGTCAGAACAAGACAGGATCAATGGCTGTGAGAATTGAGTTTTATTCTCAACCTAGTCAAGTTTCTCAGCCTCTCTGAACAGATCCCCTCATCTGAAATAGTAATTCCCACCTCACAGAGTCCGTAGGAGGACAGAATGAGTTAGGGCTATAGTGAGTATGTGGAACATACTAAGTGGTCAGAACTCAGGAGCTATTATTATTATTCATTCATTTCAGCAGAGTGATCTTCCAGCCATGCAGCAGTGGCTCCTAGTTTATATTTATGGGATGGAAGCCATCATAGGGTGCTCTGAATTGTGTTTTAAATAGTGGGATGGATCTGCATGACTGCATCCACATTCTCTCATCTGTCTACCTCCTTGGACTTGTGATCCTCGATACATACTTTAAAGATCGCTGACTGGAGCTGGGCACAACCTATGGTCACGGGACATAGGATACTCTGTGAAGCCATGACACATGTTTCCTGGACAGAGTTCCAGAACCAGCTGGACTGACCCACTGCAAGCAAACTCCCGCATTTGGTTTTACCCATCTGTGCCTTGCTTACCCCGTCTTGAACTTACTTTCTAAAGGATGCAGTAGATCTATTCCCCTGCCTTTGGGTGAACTGAGTAAAGCTATCTTCTCATAACCGGATGCTCAGTTTTCTAGGAGTTTCTTCAGATGAGAAGGGCTTGGCTAATCTTTCCATTTGTTCTGTCAAGTGTTAAGGAACAAGGTGATATCTGGTTAGAATCTGTGGAAATTTGCTTAGGGTTTGCCCTTCACTCAGTACTCAGGAGAGGACTACCTCCTCGCACAGCCACATGCTGATTTCTGGTTTGTTACTAACTTCCTTATTCTGCACAGTGATATCATCCTCCTGGGGAACCTCGTAGCCAGCTCACTCTGCATTCCTGTTGCATGATAATTGAGCCTGTTCCTTTATCTTGTTCCAGTTTGAGGGTGTAGCAGTTCTTAGAGTGCTCCTTTTTTTATTCTGAGAAACAAGGGTCCCAGCCCCACCTTCTACTTTTAAAGCAGAATTTGCTATAAAGCTTGTGGCTGGGAGGCATGCTGGGCCCTTGGGTGATTAGCCAGCAACAGTCCAGGACAGAGCTGGAAGAACCAATTGGATTTCAGCCTTACCTCTCCTCCCATGGCCAGGGGCCAGCAGTTAAACTATTGTGTCCAAGAAGGCATGTAATCCAGCTTGTTAACCTCTCAGGGACATATTCTAGCATGACTCTGTGTGTGTGTGTGTGTGTGTGTGTGTGTGTGTGTGTGTAAATATTCAAACACATGCAAAAGTAGTTTGACTAGAACAGTGGTTGGCAAACTCATGAGTCAACAGAGCCAAATATCAATAGTACAATGATTGAAATTTCTTTTGAGAGCCATATTTTTAAAAATTAAACTTCTTCTAATGCTACTTCTTCAAAATATTTTTGAGATATTTCAAAATATTTTTGAAATAGCTTCCACACACACTCAAGGGGCCAAAGAGCTGCATGTGGCTCGTGAGCCGCAATTTGCCAACCACGGCACTAGAACAATGAACTCCCATGTATCTATTGCTCAGTTTCAATAGCCACTAATGTTCCACCTTCCTTGTTTCACCTGACCCACTTCCCCAATCATACATTCCATCCTATGCCATTACCTGTGGGTCCATCCTGGGCTCCCTGATAAGGCAGCATTACCATTTCACACCATTTTCTTCCACAGTAGACATGTTCATCTTTCATCCATTGTAGCAGCAGAGTCCTTGGGGGAGAAAAATAAGCTGCAATTATAGTAAAGATTTTTGAATTACATATTGCAATCTGACTAGCCGGCCTTCTGGAATTTTCAGCATCTGAAAGGCTTGTGAGCAGAGCGCCATAGTTCAGCAATTTCTTTCTCACTATTTCCTTTTTACTTTGGTTTTATTGCCTAGTTAACATGAGCAGGAGCTGTATAGACTAAAAAAAAGCTGTGGTTTGGAGGTTTTACAGTAAAGTTCTTTGGAGGATTTGATAGTTGTGGTTGTACAGCCATTATTCGTAGCACATGTTGGAGGCCAACTGGGCTGGAAAATGGTAACACAGGCTGTGGAGCCAGACCGAACCAGATTTTAAAAAGTCAGCTCTAACAACTACCAGCTATGCAACCCTAGGAGCCTAGTCAAGTTTCTTAGCTTCTCTGAACATATCCCCTCATTTGAAAAAACGGACAATACTAATTTCCTCCTCACAGAGTCCCCGTGAAGACAAAATGAATTAGGGGTGTAGTGAGGACTTAATGAGTACCTAGTATGTAGTAGGTGGTCAGAACTCAGAAGCTATTATTGTTATCCATTCATTTCAAGACAGTGATCTTCTAACCATCTCACAGCTTTCCTCACATGTTTTAAGAACAGTTCTGGAGGGTGAGATGCCACACACCAAGTGAAGGGCACGCTGTGATTGCCACAGGGCTCTTGTGAAATAGTCTGTGATGCAGTTCCCAA